TTTGAATTAAGTTTAATTTTATTTAATGCAGAATTAAAAAATTATCGTATCTAATTATTAACTTTTTTTTAAATCAAGGGATGGAACTATAAATCAGTCTTCCCCCCGAATCCGATTCGAGTGTCTTTAAGAGAAGTTGAACTAAGTCGTAACTTATCTTCTTCTTAGACCGTGTAATAGGCACTGACTTATATATTACTAACGAAGCACTTTATGGTGGATTGAACTCCACATTGAACCGATTAGTATACAAGGTGCATTTGAGTCCATAGGATGACGGGAACAAAAAAGGAATCCAAAGTCGAAACCAATGTACTGACAACTTTTTTAATCGAACTAGATTGAAGATAAGCCCTAATGTTTTTTTTTTATAGAATAAGGGTGACGATCGAGCACACAGTCCACCTGATGGTAGGTTGTTGCTGTGGCCCATGGATATCTACATTTATATTCATTTGCGAATTAAAATGCAGATGCGTTGTCAGCCGTGAGGACTAAGATAGAATGCCTCTTTTCCAGTAAAATTGGGTTCCGGTTCTCTACACTCACCATACGAAACACGCTGGTATTCTCTGAGAGCGTGGTCCTTCCCCGGTCGAGCTGAACCGTTCGTGCTACAACTATACTATTAATATAGTTGCAGCATGGCTCTACCACGTAAGTGGAGCATGGCTCTACCACGTACATGTTGAAAACACTGATGATTTTAGATGAATTATTTTGTGATCTTTCATTGACGTAGAGCAATCTGCGGGTAATCATTCAGTTGCGATATAGGAGTGAAAATATCTACTATAGGGTGCATTTTAGCAAATAAAATTAAAACGTATAAGGAAAAATCATATATACAGTCTAGCCCTCAAACGGCCAAGTCTAGTACATACGAACTACTCTATCTAACTCCAACTACGGAAGAGGAAGTAAGTAAAATCATAGATAACCTCAATGCAAACACTAGCACAAGCTTAGACGGGATTAGTTGCAAATCCATAAAATGCATCAAAAACTTAATATTAAACAAATTAACAAAGAATATCAATTATTGTTTACAAAACGGTTTCTTCCCTGATTCTCTTAAAGTAGCAAAAATAAGTCCAATTTATAAGTCAGGAAAAAAGACCGACCCAGAAAATTATCGCCCTATCTCAGTCCTACCAATAATCTCTAAAATTTACGAGAAAATATTATATAACCGCTTAGATAATTATCTTAAAACTATTAACTTCTTTTCAAATAATCAATATGGGTTTCGCACAAAATCAAATACACTTACTGCAACAATCGACCTGGTGACAAAGCTGAAAAATAATATTGATGAAAAACGCGCAGCACTCGGTATATTTATCGATCTGAAAAAGGCATTTGATACGATTAGTCATAGCCTGCTCCTCCAAAAACTACATGATATCGGCGTTAGGGAAACAGCCCACGATATGTTTCGGTCGTATCTCTCTAACAGACAGCAAATTGTCAGGATTGGTGACACACAAAGTACTCACGAATCTTTAACTTACGGCGTACCACACATTCTTGGCCCCTTACTGTTCATAATATACGTAAACGATATGCATAACCTTAACCTAACAGGTGACATATTACTATATGATGACGACACTAGTTTATTTTTATTTGGCAATGACATTGAGCAGATCATTAAACAAGCTCAGCAAGATTTGGACACTCTCTCTAGATGGTTCCAAGACAATTTGCTTACTGTTAATATATCTAAAACTAATTACATTATTTTCAGTGCTAGGAATAAAAAAACCGAAAATCACTCATCTCTATGCATAAATAACGAATCCTTAACCAAAGCTAGTTCAGAAAAGTATCTTGGACTCCACCTAGATAAACATCTAACGTGGCAGCCGCACCTCGATAAACTAAGATCTAAGCTATCTTCTATCATGGGTGCGCTTCGAGGTAATATTCGCTGTCTCCCAAAATCAGTGAGATTTATTATATACAACTCTATGGTAAAACCTCATCTAGACTACCTTATAGAGGTGTGGGGTACTGCAGCTAAAACAAATTTAAAGCAAATCGAAACATGTCAAAACAAAGTAATTAAACTACTATTCCATTATCATTATCTAACTCCTACCGAAAAAATTTACAAAGAAACTAAATTAATGACACTGTCCCAGATTTATAAATATAATACATGCATATTAGTACATAAACTATTAAATAAAGATATACACTCTAAAATAACGTTTACAAAGAAAGGACAAATACAAAAACGTATCACTAGACGAAAAAATAATATTTGCTTAAGACAACCACGAACTAACTATGGAAAGAAAAACATACTATACGAAGGAGCAGAGTTATATAACAAATTGCCTAATAACATAAAAGAGATTCAATCGTTAACTTTATATAAAAAAACCTTAAAGCACCACATCTTAAAAGATTTTTCTCGATTTTAAACCAATATTAACGCATTTAAAAGGCGAATGTAATTTCTTCAGTTAATTTGATTTTACCACATTAAATTTTTAACTAATAGAAATATATAGGTATGAAATATATTTAACTAAAATATTATACCATTTGTAAACACTTAATATAAAATATAAACTTAATTATAAACTGCTTGCAAATATGTAATCGCTATAAACTTGCTTTCAATAATCATATGTAATTGTACACTTACTTTTCTTATTACCCTACATATTATTGCAAGAAGATTGTGCATGCCCAGGTAAATAATAGATCATTCACGAGTACCTGCCGTTCTTCATAAGTTCATGTATTTAGTATTTAAGATTAACTTGTTATTTCTCATGATAAGTGAATTGTATTCTTTTGAGGAATAAATTTCTTAAACCATAAACCATAATATAGACTTGCTCCTTCTTGCTCCTTGCGTCCTAGAAGACTCCTTAGTTCTTACACAGGCGACCACTTTGTAGTAGCATCTTGTATGTTCCTTTTGTAGTACATGGGGCACACATAAATGTCTGCGCTCCTGGCTGCTTATAAATATTTGAATTTCGAATGTAACCATTTTTAAAACATTTAAGAAACTCATAATACAGTGAACCAGTGTATTTGCGGGATAGTTGTAACTGAGTAAACTGGAATAACTATCTGTTATCAATCTCGCTGTCACCATCTTCTATTATCATAACGAATATAAACCATTTTTTCAAAGAATTCATGGCTTAATTGTCAAATTATATAATTATTTTTGATAGTTTAACTTCCCGCAATCACTTACTGACTAAGCTATACTCCTTCTGGCCTCTTTAAGACATTCACTTTGTTATAGTCATTTCAGCACTTTCTCTCCTAAATTGCCTGATATGAGATATATTTGGCTTGGCAAGCGGATTGTCACCCGCAATTTTTTTACTATTATTGAGTTGACTTATCTATCAAAAGTTTTAAAATATTTATTAAGCAAAAATGGTTTAGTAAGGGTTATTATACTACTAAAGAGTACATGATTGATAATAACCCCTGGGAATGAGGTGATCGCTACCATGCTGGTTCTAAATGTTTTCATAACAATCGTATAAATATTACACTGCAAATTATGCTTTTAACAAAAAGTCATGCTGAGTTTTTGGCTGGTTCTTCCCAGGACAGGGGTTATTTTCCGAATCAGAGGTAAATAAAAAATGACTCAATAAAAATTACATGCAACTATATTGAATAAAAATGATTCTATTATATTCAATTCCGTTATTATCAGGGCGATGTTGGTTCCGATCTCCTGTATTAGTTTCTCCTGTCGCCTCTCGACACCAACGAGACGATATGGGTTAGTGGATTTCACAAGATCTCCCTTAGTTGGGACTTGTTGAAGCGATAGAGAAGTTTTTTAACTTTTAATAAGCGCTTTGTAACCGACGACAATACGACAAGTGTTTCGCCTCTACACGAGGCATCCTCAGGTGATATAGACTACGGTGCCTAACCGTTAAGTGACACGCAAGTGTCGTATTGTTGTCAGTGGTGTGTCTTTCCTAGTGTAGTGGTGTTGGGAGTAGTGGTGCTGGGATTAGTGGTGACGGGGATAGTACACGCAATTGAGGGAGGGCGGGAGGTGCTCTTCAAACTAGGTAAGACACATCATTTTATTTTGTCGAGCGGATGTACGCAAAGTAATTTTTTGTCAACTTTAATGAAACTTTCTTTGTTTGAAGTTTTATCCGGTGTCCATGGACTACAGTAAACACACCATCATGTGAACTGTAAGCTTGTTTGTCACTTCAGCTTTATAAAATGTAATGGGCCGGTCATATAGCTGCAAGAATCGACAACCTATGAGGAAGATTCATGAGTGGCAGTTTCGTACTAACGAGTAAAGTTTTAGGTAACCCCCCCACCCCCTCTATATGGAGTGACGCCTTGATAAAACACGCACAGGTGACCCATAACTTTACTTGCGGCATTTTATAGTAAATATACAATTGTATAAATGTTATATTGTAAGTTATGCTTTTAACAAAAGAGTCCCGCTGGGTTTCTTCCCAGGACAGAGATTCTTTTTTCGAACCAGTTATAAAAGTTAAAAATGACTTATGTAATCAATATTGAATAAAAATTATTCTATTTTATTCTATTCTATGTGAGCTCACTAATGGTGAGTGGCAGATGTAGGCCATCAGCAACCAACTTCAAAAAAAGAAGTTTCCAGATGCGTTGTTATCTAGGAGGACTCAGATGAAATGCATGATGGTTATGTTTGTAAGCAGATATTGGCCGGAGTGTGATATCAGCCCCGGCGGACCTTCTTTTCTGCCTAGGTTTTCTGGATTAGTATAGCCTAGTAAAAACGTAAATATGTACATAAGAAAAAAACAAATTTTTCATACTTTTGAAATTATTATTATTATCATTTACTTAAATTCTAGGAAGAACAGTGTTAAATAAAATGTTAATTAAATAAACTTGTTTGAGATAATTAGAATATAACAATATTTTATATAATATCACAATGCATTGACTCTTTACAATCGCATTTCAATCATGCTTTTATTATTTATTTAGCTAGCGGTTTGAAGAACGAAATAGAATGGAGGCTGCAACTTGTTCACGCTTGGGGTGACCACGTTGGGTGCGGGCCCGTGCCATTCCAAGCGATATTTATCTAGAATCCTGGTTGCCAATGAAGCGAGCATTTTGGCAACTACTCCAGTCGCTGGACAGTTTTCACCAAACGGCATGGAAGCTGCTGGATGTGCTCTGGACGCTCGTAAAGGCTCCCAACCTTCGCTACACCAGCGTTCTGGTATGAAAGACTTCGCTCTACCCCACTGTTTTTCTTCTTTACTGGTTACGCCGTGAGCGAGGACGATATCGACCTGAAATTCAATTGCGGATTTAAGTTTTTTATCCCACGACCCACCATTCAATTATGGTTGTAAATCATTCTTACACAAGCTTGTAAGGAAAAACTATCCTACCAAAATGGGTGAGACCCATACTCAGCCGTGTACTGGTTTGAGTATACTATAATATGTTCTTATAACAACTATTTATGAAGTGAAAATTGTTTTAGCTGCATTGAGAGATTTTCGGTAGAGGAAGAACTTATGGACCCGCATCATCGATGACCTCGAACTCTCTAACTGTAGCTGTTATAGCGTCATGTGTAAACGTATACACATATATCATTGAATTTTCACTTCTGTCGGCAAGTCTTATGGCTGCTTCTGTTTTTTTTTTTAATATAATACTCGACGTTCTGTAAATGCCTGGAAGTTATTTCGCTATGATGGACTTAATGGACGGACCCTCCATTAAGTTGCTCATCATTTAATCCCGTCTGATATGCCTGAAACGTAAACTTATGGACATGTGTATGTTCCTCGTCCTTAAATATAGATCTCGAACTTAGTCTTTAATAGATCAGCAAGGGTCCGTTTCCGAGATCTCGCTGGAGAATTTACTACAAAAACATTCAAATATTAAACCTTTGTATCTCTCTTACTAACCGACGAAGGCTCTTGGTGAGCTCACGCCCAGACCCTTCTGCGCTCACTGCCGCACACGTCTTATTCCTACACCAACACTTGTTTTGTCGAAGACTGTAAGAGGACAACGTGTGTTAGGACCAGACGAGTTATAAATCCTGGGTGACAGAACTTACAACCATATCTGGTATATTCGATCTTAAAAAAAAATGGAAAGAAACCAACCCCAGCTGGAATTTCATATCCTGCTACAACCAAGTCTTGAGTACTCCGCCGAACAACACCGCCTGTGACGGGGTAAAGTCTCAAGGCTTCTCTGGCGCAAGCGTTTATATACGGGAGCTCTGTGCAATCGGCACCAGCGTCTTTGGAGGCAACAGCCCAGGCGACTTGGTCGTGAGCGCGTTGCTGTTGCGCCGCGTGGAGAGACAGTTGGTATAACATGCTGAGAGCTGTTTGAGCGAGCTTAAAAGGAACAACATGATGGTATTAGATTTTACGGTAAGTTTTTGTTGTTTTTATATATATTTAATGTATTAATTATCTAAAATTAATTAACTAATTTAAAAAAAATGAATAAATGAAATACATTTTAGGAATAAAGCCCTACAGAGGGAGGGCGTACGCCTGTGATTAATTATTATTATGAAGGACTGATTTTTTTTATAGGATAAGGGTGATAAACGAGCACACAGTCCACCTGATGGTAAGTGGATGCTGGTCCCATAGACATCTACATTTGTTCTCGATTACGAATCAAAATACTGATGCGCTTTCACCCGGTGAGGACTAAGATGGAATGCCGCGATTCCAGTAAAAAGGGTTCCCTAGTTGAGCCGACCCATTCGTGCTACAACTATACTACTAATATAGATGCAGCATGGCTCTGCCACGTACAAAAAGTGTTTCACGCTGGTGTTCTGTGAGAGCGTGGTCTTATCCCAATCAAGCCGAGCCATTCGAGCCACAGCCATATATAGCTGCGGCGTGGCTCTACCACGGAAATCATGGTGGAGTACGAGTAATTGTAAATCTTACGGAGACACAAATTATTAAAAAAGGAACAAAGAACCTATTTTAAATGTTTGTTACTAATGAAATGTTTGTTTATTTCGCGGGTAAAGAAAGTGTGTAGTGGCTCTGAGCATGAGATATTCACGTTATTCAACCGATACCTCTAACTACAAAATCCTGCGAGCCGTTTAGGCTCAAGGAACAGAAAAACCTGTATACATATCGTGAAGAAACATAAACCTCCTGGGGACGTCGAGAATTAAGAAATATTTTTCCAATCAGTATAAGTACCTTAAGTCTATAATATTAGTATATATTGTTTTACTACAACTTACAGGATCTACACCAGCTAGAAGAACATCAGCAGCTACTGGAAGGACTCGATTTTTAAGTGTCCGCAGTCTATCTATGAGGACTTGCTCCGGTCTGAGGTTTTTAATGTTCAGTGACTGCACAGATTGCATAAGAAAATGCTCCGTTAAACTGAAAATATAAAATGATCAAAATTATGCTAATTTGTTATTTTTTTATACTTATTATATGCCAGAGCCCACCTGGTGGTAAGTGGTGATGAAGCCGGAGAAGATAAATCGCACTGTATCGCGCAGCGTAACAAAAGTCAGAATAGACTTCGACGCTTGCATTGAAGACGTCCAGATTTTATTCGGACGGAAAGACAGACGCCCTTCGATTATTTCACTAATATTCTGTTCGCATTACGAACAAAGCGTAACGTTTGGTTCGAATGCGAGGAATATTAACCACAAAGGGAGGAAGACCCGCCGACCACCCTGTTGCCCGATGATGGAAAGAGGAGGAAGGAACTAAAGAATATTATCCATACGCACACTCACATTAATTTAAATTAAATTAATAATATTATTCGAAAGTACGTGATCGAAAAGTGACTAAGGAAATTAATCAACGAAATGATAGCTATAATATTAGTCAACTAAAAATTAAATGTTGTTTAATAATCAATTAATGTGTATTATATCATTATGTTTATAAAATAATAATTTAATGAAATGAAAATGAAAATCTTCTATAAACGTTTCATAAATGTTGTAAAAACCCTAACGAAAATCAAATATTCAGCTAAAAATTAACATGCGAAATGTTACTATTGCCAGTATAATTAATGTTTACAATTTTAATTAAAACTCACCAAGTCTACGTAGCGCAAGGCTATTAGCCAGATTGAAATTTAAAAGTAAAACGAGACAGTTTCTTATTTTATAACTTTATCCTTTAAATAACTTTCACAGTTAATTAGCTAGAAAGTATTTAGAATTAATATATAATATTATGGATGAGCCCGTTGTAGAGAAGCTGTTATCGCGAATAAAATCAACTTTTTACTAGAACTGAGACATTCTATCTTAGTACTCAGATATATTAGACTCTATAGATGTATATAGGCCACAGTAACCACTTACCACCACGTGGACTGTGTGCTCGTTTGTCAACCTTATTCTATACTAGCTGTTCCCCGCGACTTCGCTTGCGTGTTAGGATTTTTATATTTTTGTGCGGAACCGTAATTATTTTTCTAAAATAAAAGTAGCCTAAGTTACTCCTTATGAAATCTGCTATCTGTCAGTGAAAGTCCCGTCAAAATCGGTCCAACCGTTTCGGAGATTACCCGGAACAAAAGGCAGACAGACAAAAATTTTAAAAATTGTATTTTAGTTATAAGTACCGTATTTAATTTCATATGCATTTAGTAAAAAACTGTAATGTTTACATTAGAGAAACTAAATATATTACCTCATTTTGCTGTTTTATAGCAAATAATGCAGCAAATATATAGGTAATTGAAAGCATGTTCCGTAATAAAATTAAATCTTGTGAGCAGCTACTAGCAGCACCTGTTCGCAAGTATGATGTATGTAGCAGCGGCTACTCTCCACGCTCGAACGTTGTAAGTGGAAATGGACGACCCGTCACACGATCGATCATGATTTGTCTATACCAATTTTTTTTTGTGCTGGGACAAGGCGTTTTAACCTTAAGTATTATACCCTTATAGAGTCGAGTTGCTGGTACCGTTACAGTCTAGCAAGAGTCCACTGCTGAATATAGGCCCCTCCTATAGTTTTGCTCACAGGAAAGATATTTTCTATAGTTTCCACGTTTGGCGAGCGCGTTGGCAACCGCAGCTTTTCTTACTAGTTGCTATTAGGGAGACACTGATGCCCACCTCCTGGTTGTTTTCCTCTGTCACTTCTTACGTCTTTTCCCGTGTAGTGGCGTGACCATAAATATTATACATGGGTAACTTACTGGCGAATTCGTACACCGGGACCTTAGAGACCGGCACCCACATGTATTTATTTATTTATTTAGAAAACCAACAGCGTATATAGAAAATATTAACATTAATGTAACAAACTAAAACTATGGCCAATAACAGGTTTCCCTTATATTGTTTGATGGTAGGTGTATTGTTGTTAGAAGAAAAGGAAAAAGAACAATCTAATAGATAAATTATAAGCAAAATTATAAGCAATTCAATGTAATGAAGGTGGTCATAAGTTTACAGATCAGGAGAGATAGTCAGGTAGAATGATATATTACATTACCTTTATATATATAAATATATATATATGTATATATATATAAACATATATATATATATATATATATATATATATATATATATATATATATATACATACATATATATTTACTTATGTATATATACATATTAAATGTTTAAATATATAAACATAATACAAATAATTAATTATAATATATATTAAATAAAATAACTTAAGTACTTATATTTATATTAGTAGCCTCAAAAATACATATAGAAGAAATAGATGAGAGAATATATGATTGTATGTGATTTTAACTTCAACTGCTCTATTTCGTAATAGTTTTCTTGATGTAATCTTTAAACGTAAGTTTAGATTTCGCAAAGAGGTCAATGTGTCCAAATTGTTCATTATATGTACGAGCAAGCCGCGAAAGAACAGTGTTTCGACAGTAGTTTGAATGATGCCAGGGAGTTTGTAACAATGTAGTATTGCGGGTACGGAATTTTGGAGTACGAAAGGTGATTCTTGAGACAAGATATGGACAGTCAATATTACTGTTTATTATATCATATAACAAAGCCATGTCAAGCAAAATGCGCCTGTGTTCCAGAGATAAGAGATCGTGCTCAGTGCAACTGTCTGTGTAAGTATCGATTTTATTCCGACAGCGAAAGTTAAGGTGATTAACAAATATTTTTTGAATACGCTCAAGGCGGCTTTTGTAGACATTGTACTGTGGAGACCATATTACCTTTTAGTTATAACACAGGGAAGCGATCATATCCTAAATGGTACACACCTGCTTTAATAAAAATAATTAAGGAGAAAAACAATGCTCACACACGTTGGGAAAAATTCAGGAATAGATTAGATTACGATGAGTTTTCGTTACTCCGAGCAAGAGAACACCGTGTTCAGAGAGAATGCTTTAATAAATTTACGTCAAGTTGTGAAAATAGCATCAAAACACATCCTAAAACATTCTGGACTTTCGTCAAAGCCATTCGGGGTGGGTCAGGTTACCCTAAGAAAATGTCTTTGAAAGATATAGAGTACACCGATGGTATAGACATATGCAATGCTTTCAACTCATTCTTCAAGAGTGTATTTGGTATTCCTAGTAATAACTACATATATCCACATACGGAATCGTTGTGTACTGACACCGTTTCTAATGTACAGACAAACGCTGCGATAATTGGAAAAATGTTGAAAACTTTGGACACGAACAAAGGTGCCGGTAGTGATGGGTTACCTTCTTTTTTTTGGTCACGATGCGTTAATGATAAGTTTAAGTGCTAGCCAAATGAAAACAATGAGCGCCTATTTCTCTGCCATTCATTTCTATTTTTAACCGACTTCAAAAAGGAGGAGGTTCTCAATACGAGTGCATATTCTTTTTTTTGTATGCATGTTACGCGATATCTTCGTAGATTGTGAACCGATTTTAATGATTATTTTTTAATTAAATAGGCTTTACCTCAAGGGTGGTCCCATTAAATTTTGAAGAAAAACTTCCGCCCCAGGGGTGGAAAATTGGGTAAAAAGTTTCATATTGCATTATTGTTTAAGGAATCTCATATGATGATATGTTCGCAGATTGAGAATCGATTTTAATGATTATTTATTTTATTAAATAGTTTATACATCAAAGAGGAAAGGGGGGTATTTATACTATATGGGACCATATAAATTAGTAAAAAAAAATCCACCCCTAGGGGTAGTAAATAAATAACTTCCTTTTTAGCAATTTGAAGTCGGTTTTTACTTTTTGTTAAAACTTATAATTATTAATAGAAGTAAGCGTGACAAACAAGCACTAAGTCCACCTGATGGTTAGAGTTGAATAGAATAGAATAGATTCAGATAGATAGAGATATATATAGAATTACTGTCAGTCAATTTTTTATTTACATTCGGAAAATACCTCTGTTCTGGGAAGAAGAGATACCGACATATACCTACATCTGTGCTCAATTGAGAATCAAAATGCAGATGTGTATATCTCTGAGTACATAGAATTCCTTGTGATTAGTAAAACGGGTCTGGCATTTAAAGCCAATAAATGTACAAGCACATTGTACTGCTATTCAAATATCTTACCTATAATGAGTGTCAAAAGCCTTTAAGGCGTCATTGAAGGTCTTCGAGTCCCCCTTCAGTGTGCCTTCGCTTCGAACTAAGTAACTGCTGTTGGCGATCTCTAAAGAGCATAGCACTAGACGTTCGGCAGGGTTCAGTCCATCCATACAGCGTTTGGAGAGAGAACAAGTATCTGGGATATCGTCGTCCATTGATGTTTTTTCTCTTGGTCTGCAAATTTAAAATTAGAAAATAAGTCTATTATAGTGTTTGTTCTTATAAAAACATTTCGCTTGTTGTTTGTTCTCTATTACTTTTTATAGTTCTTTGATGGATTCCTAATGACAATGATGTTTTCCTGGTAGAGTTTACGACGTAACAGTGATAACAAATTCCAATACAGTCGGGCGTTACCAACGCCTACCATGTGATCACTTAAATGCCGTTTAACATTCGATTTATTTTTGTATAGTTATCAACACAGCAATGTACGTTTTATTTTGACTAATAATGAGTAAAAAAACTGCGATTCCCAACCCGCTGGCCAAATGTGGCAGCTATGGTAATTATCCGCCTTATCTGGCAATCTATGGCCTATGTTCAGCACTGGACTTTAATAGGCTATAATAAATTCGAAGGACTATTGAGAAGTCTAAGTCCAGTACACTGCCAATTAGCTATGATTAATTAATTTATTAATTAATATTTGTAATAAATTTTGAAAATATATTTTAAATAAAAAAAGATAAGTATAATATTAATTAAAAGCACAATTATAAAAATGGAAACCTGTTTTCAGCAGTGGGGACATGCACTGCCCCGTCCAAACAACCGAGTCGAATGCCAAAAACTATAATACCGATGATCTCGAGCGCCCATCTGTATATTTCTGTTGACAATTCTTCGTTCAATGCATTTTCTAGGTGCCGAAGTTCACCGAGCCTGTTAAACAAGACTTTTTTTTATTAATATGCAGTTGTATAATTTTGGTATTTAAGAGTATTCGATATTTAAAAAAATTGTACCACATGTTTCAATCATTTAAATACCAGAAATAAAAATGCTGTAACGTTAGAGATTTCACTTTATTAAATAATATGCCAGATGATTATGCCAAGTTCTTTAATCTTTATAATCTAACTAGCTGGCCAGGCAGACGTTGTTCTGCCCTTTCCAACGACCCTTACTATGAAAAAATCCTTAAATTCGCAATAAAAAAATATTGAAGGTCACTTATCGGGATAAAAACTATCCTATCTCTCAAGTTGGACCAAACTGCACACAGTGTATAAAATTTCATTGAAATCAGTTCAATAGTTTAGGAGTTCATCACGGACATACAATGTGACACGTAATTTTTATATATAGAGATAAATATAAACTGTATGAAAATTACTATAGAAAAAATTTGCAAAATTGGTCACTGCTGAACGCACACATACTTATATGAGCTGGTTGCAAGTGATTTATGACGCATAATATGTGTACGTGAGCTCGTGTTCTTACAATAAGTTAAGGCTTGGGTTTTGTGTCACTTGGAATGTACGCAGCTGGGCACTTGGTTTTCAAATATTTTGGCGATAACGTATTTGATTTAATGTGACCCAACTTCGTGCTAGTAATAAATTTGTACAATTTTAGTTAAGAACTGAATTTCTTTACTTCATCTGGTTATAACTTACTTATTAAGGAAGAAGGAGGACACTTAAGGTCAATGTTGGACATATTATATTCAAGATGGGCCACGTTAAAAGTACCCTTAACCGACGAGCATGTCTGCGTATGTAAGGGAAGCAAGAGAGGTGTGTCAGGATCAAGCCAAATGTAAATTCAAGGTCTAATCTTTTACAATTTCCCACCTGACGTGAAATGATGCTCTTACCTTCGAGTGACGTCTGCAGCGATATCATCGAAAGCTTTATCGAAATTTTTCAGAAACCCTCCATCTTGTAGAAGTGTTCGAATTTCACACCATATTTCTTTTGCTTGGACCCTGGAAACAAAAATAATTTAGGGTTAAAAGGCATGGAAATGTTATTTTATAATTTATCATCATTATTAGCTACAATACCGTAGGGAAGATTTGTTTGGCAGATCAAGGTAACATCATAAAGATGTAGTTTGCTATGTTGTAAAACTTGTAAAGAACAAAGCAAATGACGCAATAATTAAACTTATAAATAAAAGGAACAAAAAGTCTTCAAAAAAAAAATTAAATAATTACTTAATAATAGCTTTTGAATGTAACAAATATAATGTGTTAGGTACTTTAAAACTATCATCCCCTAATTTTCCATTCTTAAGGATGACATTTTCTAAACATTTTGTTGGAGAATTTTTTGGAAAGAATCATTTAAATCGGTTTAGTCGTTTCCGTATAAAACAAATCCAATACCCATTACAGCCTATGTCCAACCATTCTTGTACTATTATTTATTCTGTGCTTCAACACTGAACACTGCAACGCAGTACCTCAGTGACCGCATTACCAAAACTCACGCACACCAATAGTTGTTGCTGAGTAATCTTAGCATATGATGTAAATTTGTACGTGCATTAAATTGTATATTGTAATGATTTGTGAGTATAATCTTCTTTTAACGCTGGACGACGACTTATTTACTGCCGCCGAGACTCCTGGTAAGGTGTAAGGAATCTCTGATCAGTCTTGTGAGTGCGTGAGTGTGCCTGACTGGCAGTGAGAGAACACCATCACCTGACCCTGATATCCTTACTATAACCGTGTGTTACCTTAACAACTGTCTACGTCTGTTATGCAGACGTCCCGCGCTTATCCTTTTTATATAATTAGGCTAACAAACGAGCACATAGTCCACCTGATCGTAAGTGGGTGATGTGGCCCATAGACATTTATCCTAGCTTAAGAATCAAAATGCAGATGCAGTCCTATGACGACTAACCTGGAATGCCTCGTTTCCAGGAAAAGGTCCAGGGTCTCTGTTCTCTACACTCGCTATACGAAACAAAGCAGCATTAAGCTGCTATTCTGTGAGAGCGTGGTCCTACCCCGGTCCAGCCGACCCACTCGTTCTACAGCCATAATATAGCTCCAGCGTGGCTCTACCAAGTATCTAATTTATCTACCGACTTCAAAAAGGAGACGGTACTCAATTCGACTGTATGTTTTTTTCTTTTTTATGTGTGTTACCTCATAACTTTTTTTCTGGTTGAACCGATTTCGATGTTCCTCTTTTTATTTGAAAGCTGGTGCTTCTCATGTGGTCTCATATAAATTTGATCGAGGTCTGATCAATAGCCTTTGAGTTATTCTTAATAATTTATATTGAAGTCAGTTGTACAAAATTTTTAACTTTTATTTATTTATGTATATTTATATGGAAGGGTTAGGGTATTAGGGACTTCTAGGGACTGCTAGGTATAGGGAACTTAGTTAGGGCCTGTACTCTTACCATATTCATGTGCAGTCAGGTAGTTGAGTTAGTGAAGGAAAACTAGGTTAATATTTAAACAAAAAGCAACCTGACTGTACAGATATAAAATATCACTGCTGAACATAAGCCTCTTCCATAGATTGCCTCATAGGAGTGAATTTCCTATAGTTGACATGCCTTGTGGCGGGTAGGAAACCGCAGTATATTATTATTTTGTGCTGTAATCAGTAAGATGGTGCTGTTCATCTCTTGATTCATTTTTCCTCTGTCCCTTCTTACGACGATATAGGGTAGTGGATATTCTTACATCGCCACTACATGGTTTATATAAAAAACGTGCTTGTCGAAAATAGGTCCCTTCCGTTTTTTGAACTCGATTAAAATAAATACGTCCGCAAGTATTAAGATTATCTCTCTGGCGTGGTTGATATAATTTGCTTCATTTTCAGCAATGAACCACCAAAATTGAACTGCAGTATCTCTAACTTATCCAAAAGGAACGCGTACAACTCTTATATCTTTTATAGTTATTAATGTGTGCTTTATACTTTGAATGTTACTTTTAAAGCTCTGAAATTAAATTGAAATTTAGGAGTGCATTTACTTCTCAAACACGTTTGCAATTTACGATGGTTTCATATTTAAGATTCCGTAACGATAACTGCACTCGGATCTCCGTGTGTAGCATTTTTATTCAGATGATAATTTAAAATTATTGTACAACCGATTTCAATATAAATTATTACGAATAACTTAAAAACTATTAGTCAGACCTTGATCAAATTTATATGGGACCACATGTGAAGCACCAGCTTTCAAATAAAAAAAGAATTATCGAAATCGGTTCACCCAGAAAAAAGTAATGACGTAACACACATAAAAAAAGAAAAAAATCATTCAGTCGAATTGAGTACCTCCTCCTGTTTGCAGTCGGTAGAAAAATGGTTCTTGATTTCATTGATCTAATAATATAAAAATATATTTCACGCGGTACGGATGTACATTAATACTGAAGGCTATATTATATAATATTTATTTAGTTGATTTAACTTTAAGGTTTTGAATGCTAGAATATTGAACATCATTACAACCTATTAAAATCTACTGCTGCTAACATAGATCTGTCTCACATATTGCCTCAATTTGAAGGGATAGTTTCCACGCTTGAAAAGAGGGTTGCAAATGCAGTTTTTTATTATTTGGAGATTTTTTTATAGGATAAAGTGACAAACGAGCACACAGGTCACCTGATGGTAAGTGGATGCTGTGTCCCATAAACATCTACATTTATCCTCGATTACGAATCAAAATGCACATGCGCTGTCCCCGTGAGGACTAAGATGGAATGCCTCGTTTCCAGTAAAAAGGATCTCCGGTTCCTCTACATTCATTATACGAAACACAGTTTAAAGAAGTTTGACTGCCTATCTTCTGTTCAATTTCTTCTGTTGCCTTTTACGACACGCACGGGATAATAATATGGGGTAGTAAAATTCCCTTACGCTATCACTATACGGCGATAGTACACATTAATTAAATCTAATAAAATTATTCCCTGGCGAAATCTGTATTGTTATAATTTATTTTTATTGATTGTTATTTTGTCTGCCTATCTGTTCCTTCAATTATAAGAAAATAAAAAATATATAAGGAATAGTTAAAAAAATGCTCATCACAAAAAATAACAGGGTTAATTTATTTAATTGAATCTACGCGGTGATTTCGCACGCTATCTCTACATAGTATAAAACAAGGTCGTCAATCAAAAAAAAAAAAAAGCAATCGTTCGTAAGTTGTAAACTCGATTCGTGCGTCGTAGCTGATACACTTTTTTATTGTAATAAAATATGGTAATTATTTAAAACTAGCGATCTGTCCCGGCTTCGCACGGGTGATTTCTGAATCTCGACAACAGGGCCTACCGGGACCTATCGGGGTTTATATTTACATTTGGACCTACCGGGTGTAACTCCAAATGCAAAATATAAACCATCTAGAAACTATTCAAACACATACAAAAATTTTCATCAAAATCCGTCGAGCAGTTTTTGAGTTTTAGCGAGACTAAGCGATACCAAGACATCTTTTCTCATGTGAGAGAATATGTCTTGGTATAAAGGTTCAGAATTAAAGTTTCTTCTATATTTTTTATCGCATTACCTTGTGACCTAAAACTGTCAAAAGAATTATCGCTCCCTCCTTACCATTGAACTTTGCAATCCAAGATAGATCTTGGATTGCAAAGTTCAACGATACTTTTATTTAGAGTAATTGGTAATCCTTTCTTTGAATCCGTTCTTTTCGTATTTTCTTCGTACTCGTTTCTCTTTTTGTATCTACGTTTCATTACTAGCTAGTATCCGGCGCGTTGCAGCCGCAGAACAATTAATTGTTGAAATATCGGTTCAAATTTGGAAGAGTTAATATAATTTGGAATGATAATACATTCACAGAAGTTGAATGATACATAACTTTCAAATAAATGTGTTTGATAAATTTTTATATGTACCGCAATCAGATGAACGATATGGCAGCGCATAAAATATGAAAAAACAAATATACATTTTTATATAATAGATTGACAGAACCCTCGGTGTTGGAGTCGTCCATGTTGATCGGTTTTACTGATAAAGTTAATTCTATGAATTAATTTCATCAGTAAAACTATGTAGGTAATATTAATTATAATCCTATATATAATTAGAACCCCTTTGTTGTATCTCCTCAATTTCAAGGCATGTTCGTTGCCTCAGCTAGCTTCGGAAGGCCAAACTGGCCTCTAAAATCTTGACCTGCTTTCTCGAGAGGGATAGTATTTCATGCTGGTATAATAACTGGAATACTATTCTCATCTGTGGGCTGGGACACCCTAGTGCACCACCTCCTTCCACTTGAACGCATCCGGCGCAGAGCGGTTCGTATCGTCGGCGACCGAGTTTTTTCTGATCGGCTTGACTCAATGGCGTTGCGAAGCGATGTTGTATATCTTTACGTATTTTATCACATCTATCACGGGGAGCGCTCTGAGGAATTGTTCGCACTAATTGCAATCGCTCAATTGCACCATCGCACATCGCGACAAAACTCGCGAAACCATCCCATACCATCTGGATGATTGGCGGTCCACCACTGTGCGATTTACAAGAAGTTTTCTTTCTCGCACAATTTTCTGGTGGAATCGACTACCACTAGCGATTTTTCCGGACCGATACGATTTAGGGACCTACAAAAAAGAGCCTACTCCTTTTTAAAAGGCCGGTAACGCATCTGCAATTCCCCTGGTTCTACTGGTGTTACAGTTGTTCATAGGCGGCGGTAATCACTTACCATCAGGTGAGCCGCATGCTCGTTTGCCCCCTCTCCTATAAAAAAAATGCTCCTCACAAAAAATTACAGGGTTAATTTATTCAATTGAATCTACGCGGTGATTTGGCGCGCTATCTCTACATAGTATAAAACAAAGTCGTAAATAAAAAAAAGCAATCGATCGTAAGTTGTAAACTCCAGTCGTGCGTCGTAGCTGATAAACACTTTTCTTGTTGTAATAAAATATGGTAATTATTTAAAACTAGCGAGCTAGACCGGTACGATTTAGGGATCTACAAAAAAAGAGCCTACCCTTTTTCACTCTTTATGTGGAACAAAAAACAGTGGTTTACTTCATAAAATTAAAATTAGGCCCGAAGTACTCAGCTTTCAAACAATCGAAGAAGTGGAGCTCACCGCTATTATAAAAATTATATCTTTTTAAATAAAATTTCGGTGTTGTTCGTGTTCGGTGTTGGTGTTCTTTATTCTTCTTCTCATAAAAAGGCTTGAACGAAATTAATGAAAGTTTTTGAGGTTACTTGGGTGGCTCTAAGCTATATATTATTATACTAGCTGTTCCCCGCAACTTCGCCCGCGTGTAATTTAGGGTTTTAATTATGATACGCGGAACCACAATTCTTTTTCTAAAATATAAGTAGCCTAAGTTATTCCTTACAACTTCAGCTATCTGCCAGTGAAAGTCCCGTTGAAATCGGTCCAGCCGTTTCGGAGATTAGCCGAAACAAACAGACAGACAGACAAAAATTTTAAAAATTGTATTTTTGTTATTATAAGTACCATATATACTTTCATATGCATTTAATAAAAGCTGATATTTTGACATTACAAACAGATTTATATGTATAGATTATAGTTGGACCCGGTAGTTGGCGCTGTTGTCGCTAATATAATATAAAATTATAATTATTAAATAAAACATACATATTAGTTTTATAGAATAAATAAAATTATATAACAGTTAGTAAAATTTATTTGTAAATTAAGTTGGTTCGTTATTTGGTGGACGCTACAAAGATCTTCCTAGAATCTCTGATGATTGTAGTCCCCATCAAAATGGCGAATTTTTGTATATATATTATAGAGACCCTTTTTACTGGAAAAGAGGCATTCTATCTTAGTCCTCACGATGACAACGCATCTGCATTTTGATTCGCAAACGAGGATAAATGTAGATGTCTATGGGTCACAGCAACCACTTACCATCAGGTGGACTGTGTGCTCGTTTGTCACCCTATCCTATAAAAAAAAAAACAGTCCACCTGATGGAAAGTATATGCTGTGACCCATAGACATCTACATCTATGCTCGATTAAGAATCAAAATGCAGATACGTTATCATCCCTGAGGACTGAAATGAAATGCCTCGCTTCGATTAAAAAGGGTATCCGGTTCTTTACACTCCCCATACGCAACATAGCAGCATTGAGCTGCTATTTTACGCTGGTATTCTGTGAAACGCGGTCCTTCCCCGGTCGAGTTAACCCATTCGTGCTACAATTATAAATAAGCTGCAGCATGGATCTACCACGTAACGTATATAATGGTTATCAAAACCATTTTATGTACTTATATCATCACTGTCACCAGGTATAATGGATTAGTTATCGAAAAAATATTTATGTAGCTTTGTAGTTCTTACCCTTGGACGGAACTTTGATTGGTTGCAGTTTTTCTTTGTTCATACAGAGGCGAGCGGTCCCAGTGGGGCGGCTCCGTCACTTTGCTATCATAAACCTGCATTAAAACAAAATTATTATGTATGATATTTGTGTGGTAGTGGTGCAAGTGAATCCATCACCATTTTATAGACTTACGAGGCTATTTTTCAAAGAGTAGCCAAATTTTAAACTTAAGTTCAAATATATAAATAAAGTATTTTCAACAAATGCAATATACTTTTATTGTATTTGTAGAAAATAGGAGTAAATAAGGCTCATACTTTTATTTGAAATTATGAGTAAAATGTGATTTATGGGTAACAACGTTTTTGCCTACCGATTGACCCTTACGAATGTGTGCGTGCGCAGTAAAATCATTTAAAGTAATAACACGTATTTTTAATTTAAAAGATAAATAGGACATAATTTTTGAGATTTTTTTAATTTACTTTTTCTAGACTTAATTTTAAAAATTAAGGAAAATAAAAATAAAATAAACAAGTTTTCAAAACAAAAACAATTGTAATTATCTTTCTAGTACATAATCTTAATAAAATCAACTAAAACACTACTTCAAAACTCTTTGTAAATAGAACTCAGCACTATACCCGTTTCATCTAAAATATTTCTTAAATGCGATGAGATCAGTTACAATAATTATAAAATATTTAAGATTGAATTCGAATTCGTATCACTTTCACTAGTCTCAAATACAGTCTCTTGTGGATCTGCGATCAATTATTATTTCATTTGCGATTAATTCCATCAATTATTTCATTTGCGATTAATTGTAATGTAGATTGAACATAGTCTTGAAATACATCCAAAAAATTCATATCACTGCCACTGCTAGAAATATTTGCCACATTCTCAATTAGTATATTAGGGTCCAAGTGTAATTCATCATCAGGTTTTAAATCAGACAGCATTTTAAGGGTGGTTTCGTCTCCTTTGCGTTTTGACTTTAGTAAAACATTACTTAAGATTGTAATATTCCTTTTATTCTGTGTAGTGTTAGGTTTTACGGTTGTGGTCGCATCAGTCATATTATGATTTTCATTCTCTTTATTTCTGATAAGTGTAGATTCTTTTGTGTATTCATAACATAATTTTCCGACAAAATTAGTAAGTCCACGTCATATACACAAGCATATAAGTAACTGTTTTCTCTGAATATTAGGTGGTTCTTTTCTTTCTGCCACAGTATTTATGAACTTTCAATGTACCTTTCAATAGTTGCAGCTATTCTAAATTAAAATATCAATACATCTTTTTCTATTGTTTGGCATTCTTTCGCAGTTCCCAGCTTAATTTTTTGTGTGTTTTTTCTTACTATTTTCAAAAATCCATCTAATTTAGCAACATCTCTCCCTTACGCTGCAGCGGCAGTGCATTTAACAACTCCTACTATTTCACCTATGTCATTTTTTCAACTAACAAAAGTTTTTTTTTGTATCGTTGTCGTTCTTTTTATTCTTCAATGGCGTATAAAATAGGGTCAGCTCTGATTTTAGCGTATCGATTCTGGCGTGTGATTTTGGATATAACCAATGTTTCCTCCTTCGACTTACTCTAAAAAAATAAGTTAGTAATAGGGGGGGTAGTCAGTCTGTAGGCTTATTTTGTTGCGGAAGTGGTGTCAGTTCACATCAAACGAGCAATAATTGATCACGCTTTGGTAGTAACACAATTCGACCTTGGGCTGTCCTAGAAGATTAAGTAAGGAGTTTCAATATAATAAGAGCCCAGCTCATACTGGTAATAATTATCATTTTCGATTTCCCATTACCGTTCCGCCAAAATACGAACGGGAAAAATGGTAATAGTACAAATGGTAATTAGATATTTGTACACTTTCTCACATTATACGCTCTTTATAGAACTTATTAACTCGGGAACTTAATCCAAGAATATCCTATGGCGACTATTACAGTGCATAAAAATGATAAATAAGAATAATAGACTTACCACGGAAAACTCGAACGGTAAGGAGATTTTTGTTTGCCAAACACGATTTTTGGGCGATTAAGGTAAGCTATAGTTGGCGTCAAAACACTCTTCGTCGAATGACCCACCCGAGTCGTGGGGCAAAACTGAGCGCGATCGCTGAGTTACCCTTTAAGAGACCAATACATACGCGGAAAAAAATAATCCTGCGACTGTGTGGACAAATGGTAGTGAGTATAAAGTGTTAGGACAATTTTCAAAGTTGTTACAAATTACTTAAAAGTGTTCTTTAATGTGTGTACTTTTGCTAATTAGTAAATCATGTAGTGTACTATCTAAATTACTACAAAAATATACGATCTTCGGGGTTTATTTATCACTTTTCGAGCATGAACTGCTAAAATTTGGAAATTGGGACACGAATGGTGATGAGATTTGAGGAACATTTATGAATATAACTCAGTTGTTTATTACAATAGGAAAATGTTATGTACATCTTTATATACTACTGGAGCCATGTTTTACGTGAAATAAAAAAGAATATAACTTTATATTTCACTAAGTAGTTATTTGGGGAGGGCCGCGTAATATGCACATGTTCCAAGAATCACCCAAGTCATCACTGGCAATACGCACTGGTTGTACAATTTCGTTTTAAGGTTTTGAGGTGTCGTAGATTCCCGAACGCTGCCCAGCTGAGTTGAATCCGTCGATTGACCTTTCGGTCGAAGTTGGACTTACCTAGTCGGACTATTTGTCCCAGGTAAACATATTCGTCAACAACTTCGAGCTTAGAGCTCCCAACAACTATCGGCATAGGTGTGACATGGACGTTAAACATGATTTTTGTTTTGTCCATGTTCATCTTAAGACCTATCCGTTGGAAGACACTATTGAGGTCATTGAGCATAATGCTTAGGTCCTCCATCAATTTTGCCATAAGGACTATATCGTCGGCAAATCGAAGGTGAGTGATGTACTCGCCAATGATGTTAATACCGCATCCTTTCCAGTCCTGCAGCTTGAAAACGTCTTCCAATGCAGCGGTGAAGAGTTTCGGGGATATAACGTCACCCTGTCTTACACCTCTCTGCAGTTGCATAGGTTTCGTACTCTGATTCTGTACTTGGATAGCCATCATAGCTCTACTGTACAAACACTTCAGCACCTCGATATACCGACAGTCAACTTTGCACCGCTGAAGGGACTGCAGCACCGCCCAAATTTCGACGGAATCAAAGGTTTTCTCATAGTCTACATACGTAAGGCAAAGTGGCAGATTGTACTCTTCTGTCTTCTGTACAATTTGCCGAAGGGTATGTATGTGGTCTATGGTACTAAAGCCCTTTTGTAAACCGGCTTGTTCGGGAGGCTGGAAGTCGTTAAGTCTGCGTGCGAGATGATTCGTAATGACTCTCGAAAACAGCACGGAAACGCGGCTCAGAAGGTAAATCGGTCTGTAGTTCTTCAAGAGAGCGTTGTCGCCTTTCTTGAAGAACAAGACCACCGCACTTCTGCTCCACGCCTCCGGTGTAACGCCACCATGGAGAACGGAATTAAAGAGCTTTTGAAGGACTTCAAGTACAGGGTTTACATCCGCTTTCAAAAGCTCCGCTGTAATTCCATCCTCGCCTGGGGACTTGCCGTTCTTAAGGTGCTGGAGAGCCATTCTAATCTCACTCAGACTGACCTCCGGGATATCTTCGGAATAGTGTCGGATAAGACTCGCTCTTGGATCGTTACTCACACTTGCGTGTGGCTCCAACGATGACGTGTACAGCTGCCCATAGAACCTCTTAATCGCACTCAAAATCTCAGGTGTCCCGGAAACGATGCTGCCACACTCGGACTTCAGCTTGGACAGTTGGCTCTTTCTGGCAGACAGATCTCTGGCAAAGACTTTGGAGCCTCGGTTCCGCTCGATAGCTTTCCCAATACAAACTGTATTGAAGTTGCGTAAGTCCCGCCGCATGCATTTGGAGATCTGTCTGTTCAGTTGCCTGTATGATATCAAATCTACTGAAGACTGCAGCTTCATTTCACGTCTAACAGCGGTGAGATTAAGAGTGTTATTGGAGAATTTTTGTGTTCTTCTGGCCGGGTTTTGCAAAACTTAGCTCCGGCCGCATGGACAGTTTCCACGAGCTTGTCATTCATATCTTCTACTGCATTGCAATCTTCTAGGCAATGAAAACGGTTTTGTAACTCGAGCTGAAAGGTTTCGGGACTTTGGACTAGAGCACGAGTGCGAAGGAGCGTTGATTTTATTAGACGAGACCTCTCCAACTTAACGCTTAGGTTCAGTGTGCCTCTAACCATTCGGTGATCGCTACCAGTTTTCACCCTCGCGATCACGGAGACATCACTGAACAGTTGTCGTCTGGTCGTCATAATGAAGTCAATCTCATTTTTTGTCGAACCGTCGAGGCTCAACCAGGTCCACTTCCAGTGGGGCCGCTTCTAGAAGAAAGAGTTCATCATAAAGAGTCCCTCTTTCTCCATGAAGTTGGCCAGCTGCTGGCCTCTTGGGTTCCGTTGCCCTATTCCAAATTTCCCTACTTTCAGTTCACCGTTCTCCCATTAACACTGTATATTGGATTTTGGAGGAATGCATGGCTCTAGAGATATCCTCATACATTTCCTACACCTCCTCATCGGGGCGTGGCGAGTTTTGGTGCGTAAACCTGTATGACCTTCAGCGAGTACCGTTTTGTGATTCTGAGTATAAGGTATGCAACCTTCGTCGACTCACTCTCAATCTTTACAACGTTGTTAACGAGAGACTTGTAGACGATAAATCCGACACCTCCTTAGGACAGATGGTCGCCCTCCCGGTGATAGAGCAAGTTGCCAGATTCGAGGATTACCGTGTCCTCTCCGGACCTCGGATAATCCTATAATATGCCAGCGGAACTTGTCTATCTCTTCTTCCAGCTCCACGATCTTCTCGTCAGTCCTCAGGGTGCGTGTGTTGTATGTTGCCAGGTCGAGTCGTTTTAGGTGGCAACCGAACCTCCACTGGAGATAATTAGCACCCCCTGCCCCGCCGTTACCATGGTCGCCACCGTAGCCAGAAATAGCGGGGCCGCCGGGGACTGGGGGCCGTCTCTTTGTTACTCTCATCATAGG